CAAAGTGCCAAAAACACGGTTTTTAGCGATATTTGAGGTTATATAATGAAAACATCAAACTATTTTCTCATTTCTAATTAGGGCATCATTTTCGTTTCTTGCGATTCGATTTTTCTTTCTCGAGATATACCAGTTTTAATGTGCAGTACTTCGGTATTATGTTATGAAAAATTCATCCCTTGATTCAAAAAAATGGGTGCTTTTAGTGTGGTAAAACACTTTTTTCCTAGTTTTTGGTGCCTTTTGAAAATCAAAAGATCACACTTCCTAAATGATAGCGAAATTGTACAAATGTAATGTAATCTATTTTTTTTTACAAAAACTGAAATGGGGACTTAGGTAAGTTACCAGTTAAAAAATTTTTGTATCGGCAAAACATATTGTTTCTTTTATCCGTGGTTTAAATAGATACAATTTCTGTGACAACTAACAAACTTGTGAAGTAAATAATTATGAAAAGGTGTTGGCCTTACAGCCAATTTCACGAAAGCAATTTAAATTAAAAATAACTTTCATTTTTAGAATTTTATATGGAAATTGACAGAAAATAAAAAATCATTTTCCCTTTAAATTGCTGGTGAAACCGACTGTTAAAATTTTAATCATCCCAACATCCACATAGACTTCAAACAAAATTTGTCTAACCTTAATATAAACGAGCATTGGATTTAACAGCTAAAAGAACAAAATTATGATCCGTCGTTTAGGAGAAATCGTGTGTTAATTTGTTTCACGATCAAAAAAAAAAATACTCTTATCTTTTCGTTACTTGGTCTGTTTCAATTATGTATCTCCTAAATGCTGGCTGGGTTGATGCATGTGAGTGTATACGCTTTTATGGCGTCTGCTGTCGCTTTCCTCTTTAAATATTAAACACCATAAAATACGGTCATAAATTCGTATTTGTCTGAAATGCGTTAGGCCCTGTCTCCACAGGAAAGCAGTGATGTCGTGATAACCATGTCACAAAATATATTTCTAATGGAGATCGCCTATTTCTCATGGGCTGCAATATATGTCAGCGCTTATTGCTTGACATCTATTGCAGGCAGTTCGATAGTTTGACAGCTATATTTTCATTTGAAAGAAAGGGTGCTGTAGGTAACATCGATGAAATTTTGATATTAAATCAAAATAAAAATCTGTTCCCTATTGGATTATTTATGATTACGTTTTAGGAAATTATTCAGTAAGTTTTTTAAAGATTTAAATGTTTTTAAACACCGAGATTGAGAGAATGTTGTCTGGTGGCCTCATGCGGCAAATGCTTATTTCAAGACATCAAAGTGCCCACACACAAAAACTTGCAATCATATTGCTCGCACTGTTGCTGGCAGTAGGGGGGGAGGAAGAATAGTGCGGCTTCGTTCGAGACACAACTAAATCTATTCACATACAAATGGGCATATGTACATACATACGGGACAGTTATTAGTGTCCAAAAAAGTTTTGTGACCAATATTTTTGGAAAAAATCTTAAAGGACCTTCTTCCAGACACCATCTTTAGTTTCTATGGCGTCGGAAAAAAACGTTATGAAGACCGTTACTAGCTGCTCATCTAAAGCTTTACATATTTTTATTGTTTTTTGCAAGCTTTTATTTCCCAGTTATCCAAAGTTATCTGTTAACATATGTACATATACTTTTTCATCTGATTCTTCTCAGTAGAGAGGTGGATTTACTTCGCGAACTTAATTTCGACAATATAACCTTAATATAGGGCCGCTGTGGTGTAATGGTAAGCAGTGCGCGCTACCTCTCCGCAGCGCCTGGGTTCAAGCCCAGGGTTCGCAAAAAAAATTAGAAAAAAGGTTTTTTCTTAACAGCGGTCGCCACTCGGCAGGCAATGGCAAACCTCCGAGTGTATTTCTGCCATGAAAAACAGCTTCTCATTACAATGCAATCGCCGTTCGGAGTCGGCGTAAAACTCCCCTTTGTGTGACAACATCACGGCGCACGCCACAAATCGGAGGAGAAGCTCGGCCAAACCCTAAGTATGAGTAAGCGCCAAACTATTATTATTATTATAGGGCTATAATATTATTAACGTGGGTACATATATTTTAGATTTGATAAAAAGTGCTACATCGTTATTCACTTTTTGTAATAATAATTTTAATGCGGTATTTCTGACGTGAAATCTAATTACACTGATTTACAGCAAAAGATTTCCATGGATGCCAATTACAAATTCCTATGAAGAATTGCTCGCCGGAAATCGAAATACGTATGTACATATGTATAAGATTCTTAAATTTTCATCAATAAATACACTGGATCACAAATTTTAATTTGGTTTTTGTTCTCCAGACGCCACTATCCAATTCCTATGTAGAATTGCTCGGTGATTCCGAAAATCGTGTTAATGGATACGTTTTCGAGATATTTACAATTTACCGTTATTCAGCTTAAAGCAAAAATTGGTTCCTTTTAATCACGTATATCTTACGAAAAATTTAAAAATCTCTATATAAAATACGGCAAATGAAAGCCAATGAAATTCTCCATAAACCGTATATACATAACTTTCCGACAGGGCTTATAGTTTCTGACAAATTAATTAATCATTCCAGACTTTTTTATTGTTTAATGAAAAAATGAAAAAGATCAAACTTTAACAGAAGAAAAATTTAAAAAAAAAACAGTTCTGTGCCAAATTAATGCATTAACACTAAAGCCTGTTCTGTTACAAAAAATAATCAAGTTGCTGATGAAGAAAATCGATGGATAAATACGAAATAATGAGTGATCAAATGAAAATGCGCAAAAATTTTTTGTATTTTTTTGCGTTTTGGAAGACGCTCCAAACCTTATCTCGGAAAAGAATTGTTTTAACCACTCTAATACACATGTACATATGTAAGCAAGATACGTAATATTTACATGCTATATGCGCTAAACGGCACTGTTGCTGAGTGGTTAGAGGTGAGTAATATCACTCCGCAGGACCTGAGTTCGATCACTGCTTCAGGCATTGTCTAAATTAGAAAATCCATTTGCCATTCGGACTCGGCGTAAAACTGTCGGCCCCTCCATTTATGTAACAACATCAATAAATGAAATAAAAGTTAAAGTTAGTATAGCCAATTTGTATTTCCCTCGTATCCCATAAATCGTTCGCTGCGGCTGTTAAGGAGAGTTTTACACATAGCATTTACAGCAGCACACCTTTTCTGTTAAATTTTCTTTCTACCAACCATTTCAATCAACGAACAAATATTTAACCATTTGTCGCATTGGTTCAAGAGCAAATTAAACTGTATCAGTTATTCATAATAACAGGAAACAAATTCCACTAAATTGTCCTTCAATTATGTTTGTTACATACCCATAGGTGTCGAGTGAAAGGCTCTTTAAAACGTGAAGGGGTCCATAGATCTTGAGTAGAATGTTACTTCGAATGGTCCTAAATATAGACAGTTTTTCTAATCCAACTGGTTTTTCTATGTATGATTCGCTGAAAAGTTATGGTTATGGTTTCAAAGAAATTCCAAACATTTATGAAACTTCTTACAATTTGTGAGTTACGCAAATTTTTCTTTATCTTTATTTAATCTAATATGTTCAGAAATGTTTTCGTTCTTTAGTCATTTCATTTTTTATCAGTATCATCGCCCTAACATAGCGCGTTGAGCCTGCGTGCTAATCCTTATCTCTACCTAGAACACTGATTTCATGTACGACAGAAGGCAACAAGCTAATAATCGTTTCTTCGACTCAGCAAAAAAACGTTACGCCTTTTTTATATTAAATGTCCCATGTAGCAATCAAAGTTTCAGTTTAGAAAGTATTAGCCTGTACCACAATAATTACGTTAAAAATTTGTCTCATTTTCTAATTCGAAATTTTTGTAAACTAAGCAAATTTTTATCTTTTATTGAGCATTAGCGGTATTCTCTGAGTCTTGCAAAGCCCTTGCACGGTGCACAGATGGCAGGGCAAAAACCGGGTTTCGTATGGGTTTTGTAAGACTGCGAGAATACCCCTAATATTTTTCGATGTCATTTGCATTTGATTGCAAATTGTTTGAATGCATTTTCTGCTGCCTATTTCTATAGACTCTATTTGTACGAGCTGAGCGGGCCGAAGTATAGGTTTAATTAATTTCTATTGGTGTGACGGCGCGTTAAATTCCTATATTAGCAATTAAAATTGCATGTGATATGCTAAAATTGCTGTCTCGTTAGCAAAAAGGAAAATTAGTATGTAGTAAAAGGAAATTAGTAGTAGCATTTGTGTATTAGAAAAGACTCCAGCCAACAAAATAAAACAATTTATTTCTGCTGTTTTGAGTGTGTCTGTGGGATTACAACTACATACACATGTACATATATTATCAAAGGGTTTTGCGATTTTCCACTTTTGTTTATTAATGTCTGTTTTTTTGTGTGCCCGTTTGTATCGTTCAATTATATTTTAATTGTGATATTTAATTCATAAAATATGAAAATTACATGTACAAAACAGGCAGTGTGGCGGCCATGGCCAACCACCAGAGGGTACACCGCAAGCCAATACCACAAAGGTCAATCATTCGCACCCACAACAACATGTGGACACACCCATGTGAATTCATGTAATAATAAGTTTGTAAACTCAAAGCCCCACGACAAAAGCAACAACCACAACCAACAACAGCTATGACAGTTAAGCTGGAATTTGTGGCATGCAATTTGTAAACGTATGCAATTTATCCGCCAAAAACATAAGCACGCATGCTAGATGATTGCAAATACGACAGCAAATAATAGTAAATAAGTATTTTGGTTTTACTTTTATTACTTTAGCAATTATATTTGACATTTGTTTAATTTGAGATTTTGATGGCAAATAAATTCGACAAAAATTGCCAAATTGTTTAGTGTAATGACTACCAGCCGGGGCTTTACTGCCAAATATGCACATATGAGTAGATATATGTACATATGTACATATATACAAGTTACTTCAATTAATTATTCATTTTCACTTTAATAATTTCTGTATTTCATATTTGCAGGCACGCGGTCGCAAACCATCAACCGCAAAGTCTAATAAAGTAAATGCCGCTAACGGCGCTGCTACCGCCACAGCAGCCGCTTCATCACCCCGCCAAGCCACAGCGACTGTGACCACAGCCCATGCGGCTCTAAGTCCAACAGCCCAATCGTTAGCCACTGTTTTGCCGCATCAATCGCCAAACCCGAGTGCCACCCAGAACAGTGTGCTTCTGGGTTCTAATCAGCAGCAGCAGCAACAATTGAATACGTTGCAGCAACATCAACACCAGCAACATTTACAGCATCAGCAACACAGTCAACAGCAAGTTCAGCAGGTACAGTCTGCCCAACAGCTACAACAGCAACAGCAACAACAACAGCATCAGCAGCAGCAACATCAACATCATCAACAACAGCTGACGCAGCAACAACAGCATCAGCACCATCAACAACAGCAGCAACATCAACTGCAACAACATCAAATCACCGCACAAATACAAACCATGAAAGATCAACCACAACAACCGATGGTGAGTATCTATTTACGTTAAAAAAAAATCGCTTTTAATCTCATGGCGTTTTTTTGTACAAAAAATATTACCTTTTCATTGCCCTCACCTTAGTATTTGTGATTAGAGGGCACAGAGAAGGCAACATTTTTTTTGTAGAAAAGAAAACTCCATTAGAAGCATGAAATCATGCTCACAAAATTTTACCACAGAATAAGCAATATGTAGGGAGGCAAACGATGTGCGTCGATGTATTTGAAACATTACTAATATCGGTTCGAAATTCGACTTTTGCCATCGATGTTCACAATTTTCTAATATCGCTTAATTTACGATACATGGATGTCAGTTTCAATGAATGCTAACCTAACACTTAACAAACAGAATTGACCGCAAGTCTGCGGCAAATATATTTTCGCAGTGATAGAAAGTACTCATTATGCGGACTCGAGAACTACAACGAAAATAGGTCCTTGTAAATTTGATACCCAGCGACCTTACGATGCACATAGTATATTTGTTTTATTACATGGGACTCTGTAAATGGACCTTGCGCCAAATTTACCACATGAAACTTACTTAAAGTAAAATTATGTCACAAAACATTTTAATTCGGACTTCATGAAAATTACTAGAACCTCTATTTGCGTGAAAAATAAATGAGGGTTCAAGCAGGTTGGATGCTTGTAGGTCAAACTGCAACTGCAAAAACTGCAACACACTTAACAGTGGACTTTATTGTGACTATGACTGCGGGCCAATCACTTTCATCCTATTTTTAGATAATTTAAAAAAAGTTAAATTAAATCAAGTTAGAGAATTTGATATTCTTCTTAAACGGAATCACTATATCTATAAATTATTTTATACTTTTTAGTTTTAGTTGTAATACAAGCATGTTTTCAGTTTTTTTAACTATAATTTTATTTTCTACTTTTTAGTCTTTTGAAATCTTGCAATTAATATTATACTAGATTTGACCTTAACAAACAAAATTTTTAATATATTTCAATTTAAATAGGAAATACACATATCATGAATATAAACCAAATCGGAGCACAAATGCCGATTTTTTTCATTATATAGACTCACGCGCCACATAACTGCCAACATTTTTTGTGTAGTTAGTTTCTTTCTCATGTAAGCAATATTCATTCTAAATGTGACCATAAATACGGTTTTTCCAAATATCTCGACTCCTGCGCTACCTATTGTTTGTAGATTTATATATTTTCGTACAAGTAATATATGTTCTACATATGAACCACATCAGACTATAAATGTGAGTTTTACAAATATCTCGACCCCTGCGCTACCTAGCGGATTAAGTCATCTTTTATATTGCATTGTCCTCGAGTTCTGAGCTAAGTTTGGAGTTTCAAGTCTGTAGCTCATCGGGAAGTTTGTTAAATACTGATTGCAAAGTTCCAGGACATACATATATACATACAAGTGAAGTTAAATAAAATCTTGTAATAAAATGGGTACCAAATGAAAGAGTAAACTCTGTAGGATTTAAAAAAATATCAAATTTCTTGGGTCCACAAGGACGAACAGGTATTGAAAATGCCATTTTAATCATTATATTTTTTTTGTGCTAATAAAGTTAGAAAGACTATATCCGAAGACCTTGTCGATTATTGCACAATTTCAAGGATATTCAGGGATAAAATTTCTTTCCTTACGCATTAAAAAATTGTACCTGTTATTTAATTTGATACCCATACTGTTTTCTGAAGTACACTGAACTAATTTTTTTAATCATTTTCTGAATTACTCATATTATTTAAATTTCAAAGTCCTTTTAAAAAATCCTGACGTCAGAGAGAAAGACTACAAACGCAATTGTATTGCATATATTTGGCCAATGACTTCGCAAATATATGGATATTTTTGTGTCTAAAATTGCCTGTCGCACGGTGTTATATTTATATATAATTAGCTAGACATTTATATAAAAATATTAAATATTAAACTAAACAAATATAGCAAAAACTGAAATACCGAAAATCCCGGGATTTTGGCAAATAATCAGCACTTAAAAAGGCCAGCATCCCGGGCTCGTGGGATTAACATCCCTAATGTGAACATATGAAAGGTGATTTTAAGAAAAATGCTATTATTCTTTTTATATCCTATAAACCCCTAATTATTATAAAATTCCATGTTTTATTTCATTACTGAATAGAAGAACACATAAAATAATTTTGACCGCTTTAACTATGCAACTACTCCTCTGTGCGATGGTATGAATTTTCTTAAATTAATCAAATTCTAATTTTAAAACATATGGCAACCCTATTCAATATATTTTAAAACCAAAACCTTGTTAAACCTTTTAAAACTGAAACACATTTTGCGATACATATTTAAATTGTGTATCTAATTCCCTTAATTCAAGTTGAATTTAATTTATAAAATATATGGCAACCCTCTTATATAAAGTTCAGAAGAAAATATTTTTAACCCATGTTAATTTAAACCCATACTTTGAAAATTCATTTGACTTATTAGATAATTTGAGTTTAACTTTTTACACAGGTGGAAACCCTCTTTAATGTTATAAATGCTCAAACTAAATATTTCTTAATACTCCTTTGTTTGACGCCCATTATTCAATATCTCATATAATTTAATTTAATTCGATTTTTCAAACAGATGGCAATCCTGTTCAAAATATTTTTAAATCAAAACCTCTTTCGTCTGACACTTGTATTGTGAAACATATTTAAATTATCTAATGCTCTTAACTAAAATTGAATTTAATTAAAAAATCAGGTGGCAACCCTTCTACATGCAGTTTGGATATAAATTTTCTTCAAAGTAATTTTGATTTATATTCATATTGAAGTTATTTATTTAACTTATTGCTTATATTGAATCTAACTTTGTAAGAAGGTGGCAACCCTCTGCAAAATATTTTCAAACCACAGCATCTTTTGTCGGACATATATATCAGGATACACATTTCAATTTTTCTGCCTTCACTTAAGTCGAACTTGCTTTTTCAAACAGGGGGCAAACCTCCTACATACAGTTAAGAAATAAAGCCTTTTCAAAACGATTTCGATCGATACTCATAGTGTAATAATTGATTTAAATTAAAAATAATTTGAATTAAATTTTTTTTTAACTCTTTTTGCAAAAATACCACATTAACTGCAATTAACATATGTTTGTTTATATTAACATACATACGCTGCGATTAGGTTATAAATATTGCGACATCAAAAGCCGAAATACCTACACATACATACATACTTTTTGTCTCCTTCTGTCACTCCCAGCGCATGCATGTGTTTGCAAAATGATAGCGAAGTGATTTTGTATGGAAAATCATTTATGCCCATATATTTGAATAAAATAAACAATCTTAGAAGATATCAACCAATACTTCCCATATACCAAACGAATGAAAAAAACTTGAGTTTTTGATTAAAGAAAACAAAAACAAAATCATTAGAGCATTTGTCGGCAGGTTTGGAACTTTATCTTCGAAACGCCATACCTTTCTTTGAAATCGCTTCGGTAGTTCTCGTGCAATGAGCGTTTTTGTGAAGCTCAAAAAAATTGCAACTACATCATTTGAACATAGCCTCCATATCGAAACATAAGACGTATTCTAAGTCAAAACTACTATTGTGTAAGCCCTTTCAAGAAGTTAAAATAGGTTTTGTATGTGAAATGCACCTTGAATCGGCTGAAATTTGTATCATTTATTAATTCTATTATATTTGCATTATCTCAAACTTTTGCAAAACAGAGAGAGAATCTGGCGCAAACGAATCTAAAATTATATTAAAGATCAAACTTTCACAAAAGTTTGGCTAACGCCAGCGGGCACCTACACACCAACTAAAGTGCATTCGAGTGTATGTGATAAGTGCATCCGCATACGTACATACTCAACACCTTAACTGCTAGCTGTTCGCACATCACATCCTGGGCGTATCCAGGTAGGGGCAGGTGGGTGCTCGAGCCACCCCCCCTAACTTTCAAATTTTCCTTATATATATATATATATAAAATAGTACCCTGAAATGCCAGCTTAATAGGGTCGAGCCCCCCCCCCCTTCCCCCCCCTAAATTTCATTCTGGCTACGCCGATGCATCACATAGTAACATTTACGTGTGTATACCTACTAGCAATGTTAATCCCGGGATCCCGGAATCCCGGCCTTTTTAAGGTCCCAAAAGTCCCGGGATTCTCGGCGAATAATCCCGGGATTTGTAATTTGCACTGATGGCAATAATAGAAACTCCTTTTTTAATATTTTTTTATAAATGTCGAGCTCATTATACTTATAACAACGCGCGAAAGTAAATTTTAAAGTCAAATATCAAAATATTCGCGAAACCATGGGCCAAATATAGTAAAATTGCATTTTTAGTTTTTCACTCTGACGTCAGTAATTCAAAAATGATTTAAAAGACTCAGAGAAATGTGCTTAGAGAAGACGTATGGGTATCAAATTAAAGAGGAAATCCTGTAGAATTTAAACAGATTAAAGTTTTTGGCGCAGAAGGACTGGATAGATGGATTAAAATGTCCTTTCAAAATATTATCCTTGAAATTTCGCAATATTTGTTTTCGAAAAAATTATATGTTAAGGACTTATATAAACTCGATAAAATCCTCGTATTTCGTCCTTCTAACTTCATCAGCTTAAAAAATTACATATTCGTCCTTGTGAATCCATAAAATTTTAATTTTTTTAAATTCAAAAGAAATTTCCTCTTGCATTTGTACACATATTTTTATTCTACATTCCATTGAATTTTTTAAATAATTTTTGGAATTAATCATATATTTGAAATTACAAAGTCCTTTAAAATAAATCCTGACGTCAGAAAGAAAAAATAAAAACGCCACTTTAAATAAAAAGTATGTTTCAAATCCGTTTATTTATTATTTATTTTATGGTAGGAGAGCTTCTCAAACAATATAGAAGCAATTTTTTCGATTTAAGTTGGTGAAAAGTAATGAATATCTAAATCCCGGGGCTAATCCCACGATCCCGGGATTGTATTAACGACGTCTCGAAAATCCCGGGATCGGAAAAAGCCGAAAAATTAACATCCCTAGTGCTTACACTTATTTTAGTGTTTGGCCGCGCTTCTGC